AAAATTAAACATTTGAGGAGTCAGAACTGTTGTTTGTTGTGTACAATAGTGGTGTCAGTCATATTTAGTAAGCACAGAGCTATAAAATATTAAACCATCCATCTTTGCTCACAGCCTCTCTGTACCCTCAGGTGTGCATTAACTACAGGTTATATGCTTCTTTTTAAAATGCAAACATTTTAATTTATCAGTTATCTTTTCAGTATCAGGTCACAATCAGTTAAAAAAATTGTTATATCCCTAATCTGAAATCCGTACTTTTGACTCACTCAATGTTCACAGAATGAAAAACAATATATAACTGATGACAAACAATTGATCACTTAAAAGAAATTCCCACTTTAATTGGCATTTTATGCCATTAATAACAAAGAACTTTTTTTTTCTTTTTTTTCCCTTTTTTTTAAAAAAAAGGAGGAAACTGTACATTGGTAGAGAAATCCCAAAACCACAATAGATATAGCCACAAATGTGTGCCACATCCATTTTCACTGAAGTGAAAATAGCATGATAAGTACAATTAACTCCATAATGCATTGTGTGAGCACAGCTGAGTGTATGGGTCAATTTAATAGTCCTCAAATGTACCATCACTGACTGCATTAACAAAAAAGATCGACCCAACCAATTCCAGTACTAGTGAACATGATTAAAGTAAATGATGCAAACGAGACTTACTTAGCACAGAACACAACTCTCAAACTTTCAACATCCTATTCTCTATCAAACACATAGTATTATGATGTATTAAGTTTCAAAACAGTACAGGTTACAAAATGCTTCAAGGCGCCTTGGGAATGTCTCAGGTAAACTCAATGCCATTGAAGCTGAACAAAAAAATTCCTGATATAGGCACCACTGCACGTTTATGCAGAAAACTACAACCTAAAAAAGGCAAAATAAGAAGCCAGAGAGAAACAATAACAAACAGATAACCCAATACAATGACTGAAACTTTCCCTTCACAGAAGCCATGAAAATTGAATTTGTAGTATTTTTTTTAAAATGCATTTATGCAATCACGTCCCTAAAAACATTGCTGTCTTATGAAAATAGTAGATAAAAATAATCTCTGCATTGTACAAGAAAGGAGGTACAGGGAGCGGTGGCAGGTGAGTTTCGGGGTGTCACGACTACTCTGCTGCTTTCTCCTCCTCCTCTTCCTCTTCTTCTTCAGCTTCGTCTTCCTTTTCGTCTGCGTCATCTGCTGCTGCAGCCGGCTGGAGAAGGGAGAAAACATGAATTATCATTTTGTTTGTCCTTTAATGTCGCTACAATGCCAACAAAAAGCACATTTCACATCGCAGGAGTCGTGAGGTGGGAACTTGTAATACCTCTTCAGCTTTGGCTTCTCCATTTTCTGCGGGAGCCTCTTCCTTCTCTTCCTCCTCTTCCTTTTCTTCTTTCTTCTTCTCTTCTGGTTTGGCCTTTACTACCTCTTTCGCCTTTTTGTTCTTGGGAGGTGCCTGTCAAAAACAGACCAAACAGCATGAAATGCACCGTTAAATGTGTATAAACGGGAATAATAATTTATATGCTCTTAGTGCACTGGTAAGAGTTTTCCTTTTACCTTTTTCTTTTCTGGCAGTGGTTTTGGCTCTGTCTCTTTCTGTAACACACACACACACACAAACAATACAATTATTATTATGGAAACCTAATATGCAAAGTAATAGTAGAATGTGCACTGGTTTTATTGAAATTTAATTTAGCTTTTGTAGAACTTACTTGTGACAACCTCTGAGACTTTCTCCTTGGCTGTAGGAAGAACAAATAATAAAAAAAGGTGTTAATTCAGTCAATTGACAAGATTGATACACGTAATACAGAATCCCCCCCCCACAAAAACCTGACAAACATGCCAGATTTTTAACAAGTACACAAGATCCCTCAGTTTGTTTTGTCCTGCGTGTGATACCTTGTGATGAAAGAAACAGGGAATATGGGGAAAATATATGTTTATTGGTTTAAATACTGCATCACACATCTGAATTACAAATTATAACCAGACTGAGGGTTAAGTCAAAACCTTTCTCCTTGTGAGTGAAAATTGAAATACAGTAGGCCTACATGTGAAATTAATTAGCAGAGGAAATAAAAGTGCATCGTTTGCAAATTACCAAGATGAAACTAAGACTGAAACTGGAACCCCTTCCTTTACACTCATTCACGTTTCCCTACGCAACAGGCACTCAGTTGTGAAAGGTAAACAGAGATTTCATATGCCTGGAAAACTTGATGAGTAATGCTGCATAAATGTACTTTTACTTTATGTAATGTTGGGGGCAAAGGTGAAACACTGCATTGTGGGATTTGTAGTTTACATAGTGCTTATGCTATGGACCCAAAATTGTTGTCTTGAGCATCTCTGAGGGCACCACATACAGTAGTAGTGTTTTATTAGAATTACAGGACTCAAATGAAAATGGGCAAAGTAGCAAATAAAGAACCAATTTGGGCTGCATATTAAACAGCGCCCACTAGAGGCCGTGCAGCCCCCCCATACTCAATAATCGGAGGTTTGGATAATAACCTGCACATTAAGACCAGCTGATTAACCCAGCCATCCTTATAGCCTCAGTTTTCACATGCAGGATATAGACTGAGCTGCACTAAACTATGTAGAAAGCCACCCCGTCCCAACCAAGACCCTTTCCCTTTTGTCCTGACAGAAAGTAGAACAAAATGTTCATTTGGGTGTGCGGATTCCATTTGGGTCAGCCCGGGTGTCAACACTTGAATACTAACCTCCACACTTGCATCTGCATCACCGGTAGACTGAGAGAGAGAGAGACAGAGTGAGGGAAAATAAATTAATAAAGCAGGAACAACAACCATTCATGAGTGAGCTAAAGTGGGTGTGTAATGCAAAGGGGGGATGGGCACCTCTCCCTCCCCTCAAGTCACAAAGAAATTATGCAACCTTAAAGTGGGGAGGGGAGCCCGACACGTTTCTAAATTGACTTTAAAAAAAAAAAAAAAACAGGGTTCAACGAGTTCTGGTTTATTCCCGCCAAGCACTGTAATGCGTCGCTCATGAGACAGAAATGTTTTTGTCAAGCAGGCATGGAGCTGGAGCTACTTTGAGGAGAGGGAAGGGTCGCTCCACCTCCACACGCGCTTCCACACATCAAACACATCAATACAGGCTATCTGCTTTATGAGCCCAACGTGACTAACGCAGACTTATTCCATAAAACTTCTCCGACGTGATTAAACAAGAAGGAAGAGGGGGGGAAAAACCGACCAGATGTGTCGCTGTCTTATCGAGGATATCTCAAGCTGCCATGACGCTCCTAAAGAAAAGACTGCACACCTCAAGGGTGCTTTAAAGTGCGCGCAGACACAGGTCAAAATCTCGACAATGAGGGCTGCAAATGCGCCTAAAAACAACTCGACATACGCCCAAAGTGCACACAGCTGCCTGTACAATACCGCGATAAGTTGAAGCAAACAGAGGCTTTAACGCAATAAGAGATTTCCTCGAAATGGCAACCTGTTCATCGACGGTGGTTACACCTCTTTGTTTGATCTCAGCACGCAGCGAAAGGCGATTTATCGTTAAAACCACAGCCAGGTTGTTTCACCAGCTTGAGTGGTCGCGGACGAGCCCGTGCAAACCTGCGATAACTTGCTCGACGAAGATGCATGTTTCAGTACAAGTAAAAAGGCGCCACTTCCCTGTATCAACAGGGTCGGACACAGGCAGACCTGAGCACAGCGAAGGTGGACTGGATGCATGCACATGGACGAGCCTGTAGCAAGTATTAACACCGTTACACTGCAGCTCATGCGGGGTGAAAAGAAACATTGTAGCGAAACACAAACACAACCTAATGTATTTCTTTCTTTAAACTAAAGAAATGTACTGCACGTACCACATTCCACACAATGTACACATTCACTTACTTTCTTCCTTCCCATTGTTGCTTAGGTTGTACGGCCGAGATTTCTTTTTTTAGATATAAAAAAAAGAGAATAACACAGCCTTTTACAGTAGAAGAAAACTGTCCCTACACCTCAGCTTACACCTCCAGAACAGTCTGTAACTTAACATAAACGTCCGACCAGTACTAGAACTAGCTCAAACCGGATTGGATCTCCCTCTCGGTATATTTTATTCCTTATCCTACCAACCCAGCAGGAAGGGCTATCCCCCGCCCCTGGCTTCCAGTGATTGGCTTTGACGTCGAGGCAACACATTTTTTGAACCATAACATCTTACCTGTGTGGGCAGGCTTGTATGCCAATCAGTAAAGCCCAGCCAAAACTCTCACTTTTTCAACCACGGGGCTGTTCCCAGGGTCCGTGCAAGATGTGGGAAATGTATGGCAGCCATGTAAATATGACGAGGCGTTAAATAGGAGTGTATGTGCATAAGCATTGTACGCGAGGAAGCATGCAAAGTCTTTAAAGTGTTTCATTTCCCCCAATGTGTGTTGTTGTTAAAGTTTCCATATATACTGACATTATGAAAACCCTTTAAAAAAAAAAAAAAAATACGCCCCGAAAAATCCCACATTTGACTGCAGTTCTTATGACAAACATTGTGCTAAATGAGGTCATTTGTGTTGTGTTTTTTGTGCCATTGCCAGCGTAGCCTATCCTGTAATGACTGTGTAACAGCGCGGTGTGTCCCAGCAGCTCCACAGCTGCAACGAGGAGGCACACTGGAGGAGGAACAAACATGGCGACCGGCTATGCGTGGTTTCTTGTGCTGGGGTCGGTTTTTCTGTGTAATCTCATGAAAACACTCCTGCCGTCCATATCCTCTTTCGTAAGTAGGGACTTTTGACTTAAATGTGGGTTTAAATGTTTGCTCTGAAGGTGTACGCTGTAGCTGTGTGAGTGTAATCCGTGTAGCCTCCACAGGCACCAGACCATTGTTGACTAGCTTAGCTCACTGTTAGTTAATGGATGATGCTGTAAGCTAAGCTATCTAGCTTCAAACAACGTAGCTGTTACAGTCAGAGGAGGGTGGGGTTTTCCCCCCCTAGAGATCCCGCTATAGTTACTACACATAAGGAGGGAAACATTTTAATGCTGCACTATTATTGTTTAGATAAAAAGTGCCGACTGTAATGTTAACGTTGTGTAACTGTTCCTGCTAAAGATAGCTTACCAAAATGACAATCTGTAGTCTAAAACTCACTCACAGGTGATACCACAGTTATTGTTTGGCAGGAACACTTGTGTGACTGAGCCTCTGGATCCAGAAACAATAACCCACATCATAGTTGAACTCTGTCTTCTTTCAGTAATAGTCTTTTTCCCTTTTTCAAGCTCTCAAAGATGGTGCAGAAAGATGCTGAGCAGGAGAGTGAGATGAGGGCTGAAATCCAGGAGATGAAGAAGGAGCAGTCCTCCATTAGCATGATGGATGAGTTTGCTAGATATGCCAGGTTGGAGCGCAAAATCAACAAGATGACAGACAAGCTGAAAACACACGGTGAGAGCCGGAGGCAATTATTGTGACTGACACAGGTAGGATAGCAGGATGTGACAGAAGCCCCAAAATGTCCTATACAATAGCAGACAGACAACATACAGCAGCGCTATAGATTATGACCTCTAAATACAAATCAACACAGTCTCAACACAAATTTAACACAAGCTCTAAAAAGGGAGCGTCAGTTGCAGGGATGTTTTTTTGTTTTGATGTTATTTAGTCCGACCCCCCCCCCCGTAGGTTCATAGATTCTTCTCTGTCACTTTTACTAAAAAAGGCACATCCAGTACTGTGTCTTCCACACCTGTGTGTGTCTTCAACAGCAGATTGACACATCAAAACCACCAACCACAGGATGTGGTAGGAAGATTTGGATGACATGCTTACTGAGTATGAACAGCTGCTGCCTGTCCTTCACCCTCTGCCTCAGGATTATCTTGTGCACAGACAGGAAGTGGCTAAACAGAATTTCAGTACGATACACATGTACAGCAGTGCAAAGGCTGTTTCAGATTGTTTCTGTGGTGATATTTCATTTCTCTAGAGGCTCATAAGCCGTTTAAATCTCCCTTGACCAAGCTATACGTTCCATTTTGTACTCTGTAAGACAGTAGAAGAACAATCTCACCTATATATATAGATCAGTTTAACTGTTCAAATTCAGAAAATGTGACTTTTTAGACCCTTTGAGTGACTTCATTTCTAAAAAGGAACTAGCAACACATTTATGGACTTCTCAGACAATCAGGGAAAGGGCCAAATATATATTCTAATATGTTATATTGTAATTCATTCCCATGCTGCTCAGAGTAATCGCAGCACCGGGGTCTCTACCTCTCCTCTTGGCTTGTGTGCAGGAAATCAGTAGGTGTGGCATGTGGAACGCGTTTGACCTTGTCTCTCACTCTTTCTCTCCGGATCTCTGGATTAGGGTGTTTTCTATAGCTTATGTGTAAATAGTTTGAGTTTGTAAATATTTAAATAGTTTGTTTGATCTTCTCCCTCCCTTTGTAGGGAATATCTAATGTGCCTTTAGGGAGTTTGTGATTATTTGGCTAAACAATAATAATGTTAAATGCGGGTGTATGTAAATTTCCATCGGCGTATACCAATCAGAAAGAGGTTTGCATTTTCACTGCAGTTTGCAATTATGCATTTATTGAAACTGTTAGAAATAAGCAAGAAACAGTAACTCAACCAATGACTAAAAGAACAATGAAAATGGGTGATTTTACTTTGTTATTCAGATTTAAGGGAACAACTATCAGAACTTCCACAGTGAGTTAATAAAGGGTTACGAGTGAATGAAACAAAGTTAGCAAACAATATTCATTATGTAGGATCGAAAAAAGGAACTTCAATTTGAGACTATGGTTGAGGACAAAAGTTAATATTTTGAGCCCTGAACCAATCACAATAGTGGTTTTACTGTACATATTAGTCTCAAACAGCCGACTCATAGTCTCTGCCATTGTGTTGACAAAGAAAGTTATTTTATGAAGTTTTACTCAAAGCAAATTTAGATTTATTAGTTTCTGAGACTGTTCTCGCCCAATACCTTACAAAGAACACACTGTTGTGATAATTCCTATGTTACCCTGTTGACTGGTTGAAACATGATTAGGGAATGTACAAAAGTAGGTACATAGCCTGGTTTCAGACTCAAATAATGAAGTAAAGCAAAATGGCTGTTCAGTCTGATTGACAGGCTAAAAGGCACTAGGGTAGTATTACTCAAGGCTGCATCACCACAAAAGCCTGTGTATTGAGTCTAACTTGTGTGTTTCCTTATTTTTGCAGTGAAATCCAGAACAGCACAACAAGCCAAAATGAAATGGGTTGTAAACATTGTGTTTTATATACTGCAGGTAAGTGGAAATTGTAAATAGAAGCACAAATGCATTGAGTTGTAGATTCTAATGTGTCCCACACCCAATGAGACCCACACAGAGAGCTAACTCAGAACAAAAAATGTAAGCATGGAGCATCTATTACATACAGAACCTCCAGTTAATGCTATTTAGACTGACACATTTAGAAATACAATATAAAAGTTCATATTGGTACCATGATAAGCTAATAATAACAGAACATAATTTACCTATTATGTATAATATACTATTATTTATTACGTGTTGTATACCTACATATGTCTTTTATCTGTCAGGCTGCTGTGATGATCTCCTTGATATGGAAGTATTACTCTGATCCAGTGACGGTGGTACCCAGCAAATGGATTGCCCCTGTGGAGCGCCTTGTGGCCTTCCCAACAGGAGTGGCAGGTAATCAGTTTTTTATATTTTATAGAATATAATTTACAAACAATACATGGAGACTCGCGTATAAAACAACAATAAAACCACATTCCTTTTTTGGACTGATTCACACGTAATACTGATGTATGAATAAACTACAGTGTGCTGTACTATCACGCTCTTTAAACTGTGTATTCATCCATTGACAGAGTTGTTCTTTCCTTTCAGGTGGAGTGGGAATCACATGCTGGTTGGTGGTTTGCAACAAAGTAGTTACACTGGGTCTCCATGCTGTCAGCTAGATGCTCCAGTTCAATACACTGGTTTTCTAACTTATTGCTCAACTTATTGCTCAAGCCACAGTTTTTTTTTGTCTTTTTTTGTATCAGCTTCTTCAGGTTAACATGTAAAAAATGCAGAGCATTTTGTTTGTCTCATGTTGCAACGTAATATTTTGGTGATTCATTTTGTTATTTCCTGTTAATTTTAAGTTAATTGTAAGGATGTTTTGACTGTATATTATTTCAAAACAATGATGTGATGGTGTTGATGCCTTTTTAAGAAAAGACAATAAAAGAAAAGCTTTTATTTCTTGTAATGTTATAAATAACAAAAACGAGTCAGGTGGTTTTTTGATGTCAAATGGATAAGATTAATTAGACAGATCACAGTGGACTGTGTGTTGCTCTTGGGTGGAAAAATCATTTATTCAAAGAAATACTCAAGTACAGTTAAATTGTCCTAATCCAGTTTTCCTGTCTATGGCAGCTATAAAATATAGATGTATAGACATTTTTGCCCTCGGCCATGTTTGTTCTGTACTTGGACGGAGGGGCTCCTCTGCAGCCTACTCTTTCTCCCTTCACTCACACTGAGGGCTGCCCTCTCTGTCTCTTCTGGATTTCCCAGCTGGTAGATGAAGTTCTTTAATCCCACTGCAGAGGGTCTCCGCCCTCATCAGGCTCTGGGGGCTTTCACAGGGATTCAAGTCCACAGTGCTGTAGGCAGGTCTTCCACTGTGCAGGTTCTCAATAGGTTGTGAGAAGGTGTAGTTACGTATCATTTTCGAGAGCCTCTGTCCTTTTCTCTTAGGTTCAGTTGCATTCAGAGACTTTTCTAAAATGTAGGACACCTCGCTTTCATGTTCCTCTGTTTCCTGCTCTTCCTCTGACACCTGTGGGGCCTCCGTTGCCTTATTATCTTCATCGTCTCCCTCAGTTTGATCTTCTAGGCTCTCTTCTGAAAGGCTGTTCTGCTCACTGGTGTCTGAAAATAAATAAAGTGCTTTTTTGAAAAAATATTGAATGACCCAACAGCAAAACATGTATATTTTTCATTGCTAAGACCCCATTTTAAGTTTGCTCTGAATGTTTGTGGTGTTTGTTGTCTTGTAGAGAGTTGTAGGTGGATTGGTATCACTATGATAGTTTTTGTTTCACCAACTGTGTATGTGTCATTGCCATTGTTAGTTATACTGTATATGTGACATTTGTTAGGTGCTCACCTGCACATGTCTCAGTATCCTCTTGGTGATTCTCTTCTAATGTCACATTTACCAAAACATCTGTCTCTGGATTTTCTATTTCCAGACACGTCTGTACAGGGTTAATACAACACTGAAAGGATAAACAGGCTTTATGTGAGCAGCATCTTATCAATTATTATTATTATTATTATCAATTATTTGGTTTACAACACACATTCATAAATGACAAAAAATAGAGATCTGAAAGGTAAGGAAGCATCTTGAAATGTCCTACTCTCTCAGCTACATTCAGCATAAATCAACATTTAAACTAGTATATGTAGGCAAATGAGTAAAATGGGGGTGTAAAACCCCTGAAAACACAATACACAATATCTGAATCATGTACCAAGTTCACAGAGCTCTCCTGCTCCTCCGGCCTCTCTTCACTCTCAGTATATTCCAACTCCAAAAGACTCACAGGCTCATTGGGGAGGAGGATTAATCCATCTGTTTGAACCATCTTGCTTTGTCTGCCTGTTAACCACAAAAGACTGTTGGATGAAAGCCACTAAGTGACAACAAATGAGATATGGCCAAACTGAGTTAGAGTAGCTTGTAGTGTTTGAATACCTTTTTTGGTAAATCCTTTTAGGAATCTGTGGGAGTAAATATTGTGTATTTCCAGTTCTTTCTCTCTATCCTGTATAGGGGAAACAAAGAATCTACTGCATACATAATCAGTTATCACATATCTCTTACACGAGCAACTAAAGCGACCATGTGACCGTTAGTTTAGAATGTCATTAAAATTTTAAGATGAAATGAAACCTATGAATGTAAAATGTTTACATGTAACTTCATAGTGTTTAGTTATTGGTGACCACCAAGCAGGAAGTACACCATCAAGTCCTCAGTATCAGTGGTTCACTAATGGGCAATCATCTGGGGAAAGTATCCACAAATCTTCAGTTTTTATTATGGGATTCAAAACCCTGCCGCTTGTAGATTAGTAAAGTATAATGTGGAAGACACTGCTACCATCACTTAAGACAGAAGCATGCACAATAAACAATATTGTATATTAACACTGACTGTAGGATATGTGTAATGCTGTGAAGTATATTGCCTAGGAAACAACTCATTTCAACTTACTCGAAGGCTCCTGTTAAGCTGACATATTTGCTCTTGCAGATAGCTGGATAGCTTTATCGCCTTATTGAACTTTCTTTTTTCAGTCGCTATTTGGCGACTGAATGAGACTTGGCACAACTCGAGATTTCTCTCCAAGTCCTAGAATAAAGCGTTAAAGAGAAAGCGAACAAAGGCATAAAATCAGAAAGGTTTCCATTCCTATTTATATCCCCAGTATATTGGGATGTAGAGGATGTCACACTGGCTTTCCCTCACTCACTCTGAACAGTATCACCCACCACCCCACCCTCTTGCTCCTCCATACCAGTATCCTCTTGTCCTTCTCCTCTAGCTCTGCAGTGGCCCTGGTCAGTCTGAGGGTGAGCTCCTCCCTCTCCAGCAGGCTGTAATCCTGGCTGAGAAGCTGTAGGTGCTGGAGACTGGCCTTGGTACTCAGTAACTTGTTTTCTGTGGCTTGGAGCTGCCTTGCCAGACTGTCACGACAGGCGCGGGTCTCACGGAGCAACTCCTGCAGGACTCGGGCCTCATTTTTGTGCTTGGTGAGGATCTGGGAGCAGGAGTGTTGTCAAAATAAAGAGAGGAATGATTAGAAAATTGCTGTTATTAGTGCTGGGAAATTACACAGGAATTAATTAGAGAAACATTAGGAAAAACACAATTCTGATTTTCAGCCTGAGGAGATGAACCAATGAATTTGAAATTAAATGTTAATAATACATGGCAGTAGATGTAAGTACCATCCAAAAGCCATGTTTCTGTGGCACTGTTTGCAACCGGAGCAGGTAGCACAGGCAGCACCAAAGGGACGAAACCAACTAACCAACCTGAGAGAGGCTGCCCTCTGAGTCTTGGAAGTGCTGCAGTGCCACCGTGTGGCGATGATGGACCCTCTTCAGCAGCTTGTTCTCAGTCCTGGCCTCGCTCAGCTGCTGCTGCAGGTCCCCCACCTGGTTCTGCAGCTCCCTGATGCAACTCAAGTTGGCAGACTTGATCCTTGGCCTTGAAACCTGCAGGGGTTTGATTGGAGGCAACTTCACTACTTGGCGTCCTGCAGCGTAGTTCGTCTTCTGCCTGTTGGGGCCTTTTTTACCTGAAGAAGAGAAAAAAGTATTTACCTGTGATAGTGTGAATTACATCCAATATATATACATACCACCCAACTGCACAGGCATTAAATCATATAAAATAAAATACCCTTTTTGCTTCTGGATGGCTTTGATCCTTGACTCTTGACTGATGACTTGGCCTCTGGGGTCTTGTCTATAAGCGAGTCAGCTTGGTCTTCATAGTCCGAAGAGCAGTTTGAGGTATTTGAGCCACTGCACGGTCTGGGGGGGGTCGACCACCTGGAGGTGTCAGTGCTGCAGCTCACAGCATCGCCGTCACCCTCCTTATGAGCAAAGGTCTGCTGCATCAGGCTCTGCTGCCTCACACACATCACTTCTTCCCCACTATGAAAAAAGAAGAACAATTTAAGGAAAACATATCCGATAATACAAACTTACACAAAATGATTATGAAGCTGCTTTCCCAGTAAAAATAGCATACAAAAGGGCCTGTATGTAGAATCCCTGTTTAGAGTTACCTCTTTAGTCCCCATAATCTTTGACTGACTTACACAAAATCTCATTTCCTCCCCCATTAGTTAAAGGAAGACACATTTTAAGAATATAAGAACAAATATAAGAGCATCATACCTGAGCCGTCACTCCTGTTGAACACTACCGACGGTACAGGTTATCAATATTTGGTAGTTAATGCTAATTTCTTAGTTTTTTAAAGCAACGGTTGCTAGGGGCCTTTTTGGAAAGGCACTTCCGCGGTTGTCGTGGTAACCAGCAGACGTAACGTGAAGCGGGAACACTTTTACTGTAGATAAGTTGAGAAATAAGATATATAAAACGATGTTGGAAAAAAATAAAAATAGTATACAGTAAGGCATTCTTTCAATTTGTATTTTCAGTGTCCACAGTGCGTTTTGAACGAGGGAGCTCATTTTTAAACAATTGAAAGTGAATCGTTTGCAGTTTTGATTAATATCTTATTTGAAAAAAATTAATTAGAAATAAGGTTTTATATTATGATTTATTTTCACGGGCAGTAGCACATTGTCCCCAATTTCACAACAACCTCTCCTGAATTACCACAATTTCCCACTCTGTTAAGGAACCCTGCTCAAGGACCCCTAACAGGCCCGAGGTCCTGCGTTAGGAAACCAAAGACTTACAGCCTATAGTGCTGGTCAGGGCTATTTCTGTCCATATATGCACTCAGCAAAGAGCTGGAGACTAACTTCACTGTCCCCTGCGCCGACAGACAGCTGAAGTTGCCAATCAGTCGGTGTGGTGCTGCGCCCCTAGGGGCCAACCCGCCAATCCCGCACTAATGGAGCCTGGAGACAAAAATAACCTCAGCAGTGTGTGTGTTTGTGTGTGTGTGTGATCTGCGTCCTGCGTCCTGCGTCCTGGGTGAGCTCTAATAATAGGGGAGGCTGCCTGCTCCTTTAAGAGCCTACTTGTTGCATAGTCTACAAAATATATTGTAACAAAATGGTTATCAAAGTATTCCTCGCCTCTTCATCGGGATCCACTGCGGTAAGCTTCCAGCCTGTGCGACTGGTTACTCATTAGAGTGAACTTTGGTGGTTGTGCTCCTTAAACCGAGCAGGACTTGGACGCACACTCACTCAAGAGCGTTAAACTTCGAAATTAATGTCACTTGCCTTTCATTTTGCACACCTACAGCCCATTGGCGTGGTTATGACTTGATTCGTGCTGAGATTTAAGCTTGAGCTGGCGGTGCTTCAGGACTTTAATTATCTCGCAGGTCGATGTGATTCACATGCAGAGCTTTCTAGAACAGGGGCTCCCAAAGCTGCTCATGTCACGGACCCCGACATACAGACGGTTTTAGACCACATAACCGGTTTTGGGAGAGGCATTACCCCAAAGAAACAGCCTTTTTTTTTAATAGTGTTTTTATACTATATCTTAAAGTAATTGTCTGTACACTATGTGGGGTGGTAGCCAGAGCAGGGAGGGTGGATTTATCTTCCAGGTCTACTTTTGGCAAAGCTAAATAAGCAGTTTGAACCAGTCCACAGGGTGGCATGGTGGCCCAGTCTGTCAGCAGTGTTGTCTTGCAATGAAACCTGGGTTTCATCCCCTCAGTGGACTTGTTTGCATGTTTGCCTGTCCCCCACATTGTGAGTCTTCCACCCAGTGTATCCTGGGGTAGGTCCCATACTGTGTTTAAGTTTACTTTTACACTATTTATACACTCTTTTTTTAAAACTGTATATTCATTTTTTGGGTGTTTAAATTGGGCCTGAAACTCACAGTCGATTTCATTACCGTTCTTTTTTTAATCAGTAGCTTAACTGTTTTCATTATAACTTGTAATAAAATAGTAAAAAATCTCAATTTCCAAGAGACCAAAATAACGTCTACATATTGCATTTTCTGTCAAACTAATACAAAGATATTCAATCTGTTACAATGAACAAAAGCGAAAAACAAAACTATGTGTTTGCATTGGAAAAACTAGAACAAACAAATGTTTGGCATTTGTGTTTGATAAATCTAACATCTAATCGATTATCAGAATTGTTGGAGATTTATCGTTGAAGCTCTAGTTTATACATTTAGTTGCAAGGACTGGAGAGCAAGAAAGGAAAGGAGTGTCATGTACCAGATTTTAAATTTAAATGGTACCAAAAGAAGCACCACAATGCTGCATTTTTCATCTTTGACGTTATATTAATATTATTCCAGATCAAGAAGAAGCAGCAAGATGTGGTCGGCTTCCTGGAGGCTCTTAAAGTGGACTACACCCAGCTGGACATTGCCTGCAATGAGGAAAACCGCATGTGGATGAGGCAGAACGTCCCCACGGAGAAGAAGCCCACCAACGGCATCCCCCTGCCCCCCCAGATCTTCAACGAAGAAAGCTACTGTGGGGTGAGTATACAAAAACACTTTCAAAGACTCAACATTTGTAAACCTCTCCAGTATAGTACTCAGGTTACACTTTAACTTATGTATGCCATTAGTGCAACGTGCAGACCTGTGCACGTGATGAGTAAGTAGGAACAGAAGATGTAGTGAATTGTTAAAGACTGTTTTACTTTCATGCAGGACTACGACACGTTCTTCGATGCCAAGGAGGACAACTCGGTGTATGAGTTCCTGGGGCTGCCCCCTCCCCCTGGGTCAAAGGTTAGAACTATTTTCTGTTTTCTACTCTGGACAAAAAAAAAAACTCAAAACAAAATAATATAATTTCTTTTACCCATTCTTTTTCAGACTGTAAATGTGCTGTATTGGGACAGCATCAACAGTGTTTTAACCAAAGAGCAAATGCATTGTCTGTATATATTTAAACATATAAATCATATTCTGGAGGATAGCTTGTTTATAGTGAATGTTATTTGACATTATGATACATTGTTGGTTTAAGATATTGTAAGTTAAGATTTTAACTGCTAGGAATGTAATAATGAATCACGAGACAGGAGCAATACCAATATGTGAAGATTCAAATTGGTCATCAGCATAATGGTCTTTTTAAAGTAACATAGCAGAGGGCAGATTCAAGATTCAAGAGGTTTATTGTCATGGCTCAGTAAGAAACACAGTGGTTTATACGTACAATGAAAATCTTACTTTGCCCGACTCCCTTTACACAACACACAGATAGAAGAATAGAATAAAGTTAAAATATAAAATTATTAAAACATATTTTACGTCCTATGTTGCTTGCGTCAGTGTCAAGGCTCAATGTCATGGTGGCTGCATGTGAACACTTTGCATTGAGGATGCACTATCCTGTTTAAAATTGGTGCGGCACTCAAAAGTGTGGCAGCTTTTTGGTTTCCCTAAATACAGTATGCATTGTTTTGCACAGATTATACCCTACCTCAGAAATAAAAAAGAATTATTTAATTTGATAAAAATAAAATATAAGAGAATATATGTATTGTAGCATTTTGTCTGAGAAATAATTTGTTAAAAAAATGGGGATAAAATCCATTCTCAGTGTATGTGCACTGGGGGGTTTCATGTTTCTACATCACACTTGTATAAGTTGCCTACTGGATCAAATTAAACAACCATTCCAGTGTTTAATCTTCTGTACACTAGAATATATGAGGCTATTTCATGGAGTCAGTCATTGTACTATAATGTAATGTAATATAATACACAAGATAATTGGACTCACTTTCACTTCTGTGATGAGTAATATCACATGACACCTGACCTGGGTCAGACTGACATAAAACAAAATTCAGTTATGTCTTTATTTTTACTATTTAACATGGACATTGATACTAATAATGGACTTTATTACAAGAAAACCATTTTGATGTGACAATATTCAGAGTGGTTGTCACTTCAAAAAGACATACTGGCTGGTGATCCAAACAGTTGTTTTGGATTCTGAGTGATACTCTCATGTTAAACCTGATCATTTCATTGACACAGGAAGCCGAGAAGGCACAGATTGTGGAAAACGGGACCCATGCTGAAGAAACTATTGCAGATGAGAACGTTGATGAGTCAACAGTAATGCCGTCTTTACTTTCATTTTCCCATCATGCTTTGTTTCCTTTCACTGCGTCTGACCTTATCCTTTCCATCTAGAGCAACTAAACAATTTCCCTTCTGTCCACACCTGTCGACTTGATCAGACTCTTAATTTCCTCTTGACTGCTCTGTCCCAGTCATCACACCGACTAATGTTTTTGTGTTTTGCATGAGTGAGACATTTAACACAATATACTGACTCCTCATTATAACTCTGTGACATTGCATCACTGTGTTCAGACTGCCACAGAGTTGTGAGGCATCATGTTCCTACAATCCTCTCTATAATTAGTTCTTACAAGGTGAAGTGTGTTTGGTTTCTATTGTGGATTTTAATTTGATTTCACTGACATATCAAAGAAATATATCTAACTGGTTATACCCCATATTCATAGAAAATAACAAACAACGTTAAAGAATAACTTATTTCCCTTGTGTTGATTAATGATGTTTTGTTTCATTATTATGTTTTTTTTTCAGTGCATTCTTTAAAAAGCATTTTGTGTCTTTTGTATTTCATGATTCCAGTGACTTTCTAACAATTTTCCTCCCAAAAGAAAATCCCAGCTGGTCCTTGTCAACACAGTGCCGATTAGACACACTTTAGCCCAGATTTGAAGATACCCAAGAACATACATCCTTTCTATATCCAGCTATCTTTAAAATGGTGTGATATATTTGTTATGTTATTTGTCATAAGCAGGAATTTACTCCACTTACACACTACAATTAATTACATTACAGGATATCGACATAGCATTGACATAAAGTAGTGTAGACGGTTTATTGATTTTGTTCTTTTGCAAGAGGTTAGCTAAAAACACAATTGAATAGTTCTTCTTATCCCCCAGGTCAGGGTGTAATGCGGTGCTGCGTGAAGAAAAAGTTCATTTTGGCTGCGTTTTGTTTCCAGCAGCAGATCAGTTGCCTCTGTTCTTTTTCTGCTCATCTTTAAATACTTTTGACCAGACTGATCAGAGGAATAGTTCCACATTTTGTGAAATACGCTTACGCTCTGGTGAATTAAAAAGTCTGCACCACTCTGTTCTTCTTCTGTATGCTAAATATAAAGCTACAGCCAGCAGGCAATTAGCTTAGCTTAGCACAAAGACTGGAAACGGGTAGAAACAGCTAGCGTGGCCCTGTCTAAAGATAGCAAAATCTGTCTACCAGCACCACTAAAGTTCTCTAATACACGTTATATCTTTTTTGTTTAATCTGTACTAGACATACAAAATGACACATTGTTATTTATAAATTTCACAGATATATTGTTTTAATAGTGACCATTAAAGGTGCTAGTGGGTGGCTGTTTCCCGTCTTTGTGGTAAGAAAAGCTAAGCTAAGCTAACTGGTATCAGTATCAACTTTTTCATTTAACTTCAAGAATTCAAATAAGTGTATATTCCAGAATCTAAAACTATTCCTTTCAGGCCAGGACTGATTCTCTACTGTGACAAAAAAAAAGCTGTCTTCAGGTCTTGATGCTTCATTCCAAACGTTTGATTTCCAACAACAACCAGTCCCCACCTCTTAACTGTCACTACTTCCTCCCTTCACCACTTTATTTCCAGGATTGACTAACACCTTTTAAGTGTTTCAACCTCTCTGACTGATGATCTTACAATCTTAGCGCCGTTGAAGCAGTGCTTTAATTCCATTAATATTCTTTTTGCTCAATTCCTTTCCTTGACCACCAGTTGTTGTTTTCACCTCATAATAAGGAGGTTCCAGTGGAGGAGCGCAATGGGAATGCACACGGAGCGGAGGAGGAAGAAGGTGAGGGTGGCGAGGAGGAGGAGGAGGTAGCAGAGGGAGAGACTGCAGATGATGAAGCGACGGAAGGAGAAACGGCAGGAGACGAGGCCCCCGCAGAGGAGGAGGAGGAGGAGGCGGTGGAAGAAACAGACGAGGTCACAGAAGACACAGTAATTGCCACTTAACTAGAGTCTACCCTCCTGTAGTGTTGCCTCTCCCTCCATCCCTTGAATGTTTTGAACTGAGTGTCTTCCTCCATCATTCCTGGAATGCTGTTTTTCCTCGACTTTTCCTTTAATGTCGTCCTTTTTCTTCCACTTTAAGGGTTTGCCTTTCTCTTTTTTAAGTTCCTGTCGTCCTCGTACTGCATCTCCCCGTCAAGTCTCTCTGTGGATTCAGTTATTTATTAACCAAAAATGAGTAACATTCCTGTTCACTGTTCCTATTCACCGTTTATCCAGCACCATTGGACATTTAACCTCTTTACTGCTGTATTACTTTGTGTGTGTTTTTACCTTCACGTGCCTTTGTATTTTGCCAGCGTCACTGTTATCCACCCCGCATTTCACTGCATATTAACTGTCCTGGTCAAGGTGTGTCCGTAGGGTCCCGCAAACACCCCACTCTGTCTGGTTCAATAAGCCTAAACTGTGGATGCTTCAGTATGAATATACAGTATGTGCTGTGTGTGTGTGTGTGTGTGTGTTAGTCTCACATCTCTAATACTATCCTATCTCTTCTGTTAGCGGGCCCGTGCAGAGGAGGAAGAAGAACAGGTAGGTTTCTCAAACATTCATCAGCAACACACTGAATAAAAGTTAACAGTTAAAGGAACTGTGTGTTTCAGGGATTTCTTTCTCTTTTCTCTAACAGGAAGAAGCTGATGAGGACAGGGTAAGAAAATGAATACACTGTGTGTTCTTGATGCTAAATCTGAAGAGTGTTATTAATAAAAAAACATCCTGCAGCAACAATAGCAATTAATGCCAGCTGTGCATTGTGCCAACTTTACTAGCAGCGAGAGCCTGGACTCAGTAGATCTCATACATGTTTCAATTTCATGAATCCCTGCTAATACAGGACACAATATTAGGTACATATCATGGCATGCATGTGAAATAAATAAAGTGGATGTTCAATAACTCTTTCCTTTCCTGTCAGTAGAATCAGTGCTCTGACCAATCTTCACCAGTTTCCAGCCCTGTCCGCTTGCCAGTGATCTCTCTAAAATAATGATTACTAACATGAGCAGAACCTGTAGGGTTTCTATTAACGGTTTGTTTTATTTCTCACCTGAAAGTTGGATTATTAATCATGTAACAAAGTATTTTCTCAAGGTGCTGTTTGATAGTGCAAATTAGAAGTTAGGCTGATTGTCGTTGCTCACCCCTGGTTTTTGAACTTCTATTGGTGAGGGTTTTGTCTTTAAACAAGACACAAGTGGTTCCAGTGAAGACGTGTTTCCTTTTTAAATGAGCCTCTAAAATCTAATGTCTTTAATTCAGTCCCTGTTTGCCAGACTATTGTGGTGGGAATGCATGTTGTGAACATGAAACAAATTTAACAGCATCACAGAAAAAATATATAAAACGAGACATTGTTGCCAAGGATCGTTGATTTAAGTCAACATTTGCCCACTATTCTGCATCATACACGATAAAATGTGTTTGGAAATGCTACACACCACTTTTAACTTAAGAGTTTGACATGTGGCTTTTACTGTCACACATTAATATGGTAATGTGGGGTTTATTAAGTTCTTACTGTCATACACCAATTTTGAGATTGGTTACACACAGTAACTAAATAGCTGCACTAAGCACCTGACTCAGTTCACATCACTTAGCTGCATCAGTTTCAGAGGTCCTTCTTGTTCATCATGCACGCGTTGTACGGCATTTGACCTCTTCTTTGCCCTTCTGTTTGTCCATCTCTTGGTTTGCTCCCTCCAGGAGGAAGAGGATTTGCAGTCAGAGGTAACTGTGCGTCACTGATCGTCTCTTTCTACGCTTCCTCCGTATAGTCATCAAGAGTGTGGGTTTGATGGTGCAGAGATCAGGGAAGGCTGCTGTAGTTGGGGCTGGATGGGGTCTTGATCTGCTGTTCCCACTTCACCTTCCTCTCCCTCTCTGTCTGTTGTCATCATCACTCTGCTCCATTTTGTTGTCCTCTTTCTGCTAACATCCTCTTCCTCATTTCTTCCCAGTTCTGTAGCTGCTTCCTGACAACCTCAACTATCCCCCATATTTTCCATTTTAAATGAGAAGACTTTTCTATAACGCATGCCTGTGGTGCTCTTTTGCTCCCCACACAGCCTGCTGACCTGCTATCTTTTATTCCTTCTAGGAGGAAGAAGAGCTACGACAGCTTGAGGTAGATTCATGTAATGTTTTTTTTTTTTTTTTTACCTGCCTCTAGCCTTCCTCAGTTCGTCTTTTTTTCCAATCACTTTCAGTCATTTTCTTGCTTCCTTCGCCACCTCAAGCATTCCTTCAGTTTTCTCTTTCACTAATTCTTAGTAGACTTTGTTCCACCAAGGGTCTTCCATGGTCCAAGGGACAAATCACATAGCTAAATAACAAGCATGGCGTCTCTGTAAAGAGTAAAGAGTAAGAATATAAATACAAGATTAAGGACAACACTGCCATACCAAGATGTTTTGCTCGTAACCCCAAGTGTATATTATCTCCAAAGTAGGACCTCCAGTGCCTCATAATGACATTGCCAATATAAGAATAAGTCATAATGTAAAGTCACTTTACTTACATTAGTTTTAAACTGTATTATATGGAATTTGCAGTAAATTTACAATATGTTCCAAAGATTTACCCTCTTTTACATCGCTGTTTGCATTCACACAAGCTCAAAAAGAAATGAACATGCACTCACATACATGGATGTAATGCCCTCTGGGGACAGGAGAAACATGTCTCTTGACCACTCACTTTTATAGTTTTAGTTTCATCCTTCCACTAAAATCTCTCTGAACAACATCCTCACACTCGCCACATGTCATAATCCAATTGGTGAATATTGATGTCTTTGCCCATCAGGACACATACAGGAAAACCCTGGAGCTCATTGGGACACTTCTGAAACCAAACCTATGCACTTGCTCATACACAGTTTCTCACTCTGTACATTAAGCCATGAGGACAGAGTTGCAAGTGGTTAAAACTCATTCCATGATCAGCTCAGCAACTTTTCTCACAGCATTGCTTAACTCAGGGTCCCCAGAAAAGTCAGACTTAACCAGACCCCAGATCGGTATTTGCCTGCTTTAGAGTGCAACACAGTGAAGCTCTAAGTTAAAACTAATAAGTGCATCTGAAAAAAATGTCCCTGTGCTAAGTGCTGTGTGAAAAGGGCTCTGCTTCTCTGAGACATTCCAGCCTCTGCCTGATCTTCTATCTTGTATCCTTCACTGCTTTGCTTTGCTTTGCTTTGCCTTCTTTCCTCTCTGCCTTTGCATCTGTTTTGTCGTTGTGCCACCTCTATTGCAGGAACAGGACGATCTCAGCAGTGAGGTAGTTTCTGTGGTTTGTGGCGTCTTGTAATTTTCAGGCTTTATAGACTTTAGAGGTTTTCCCTGTCCCCTCTCTCTCTCTCTCTCTCTCTTGTCTCTGTCTCTGTCTCTGGTCTCTCTCTCTCTCTCCTCGTCTCTCTCTCTCTTCTTCTCCTCTCGTCATCTCTGCATCTCTCTCTCTGTCTCTCTCTCTGTCTCTCTCTCTGTCTCCTCTCTCTCTCTCTCTCTCTCTCTCTTCCTTCCTCTCTCTCTCTCTCTCTCCTCTCCTCTCTGTCTCCAGTCTCTGTCCTGTGTTCTCCCTCTCTCTCTCTGTGTGTGTGCTGCATGGACTGTCCTTTTCCATGTTTGGAATGCCCTGATGGTGTGGAAAGGCAAAATGATAAAAATGTGGACAAATTTTGACGGTTAAAACCGTAGTGGATTAAGTGTGGTCAAAAGTCCAATAATACGGACCAGTGCGGTATACAGAATCAAAAAAGAGTTTTTCTTTTTGTACAAAAAATTCACATACTTAACACACATGAACTTTCTACCTTTTCCTATAGGATGAAAGAAAGCCTGGGAAAGTAAACAAGAAGGTACTAGTTTGGATTTGTAGAGTTTTTTTTCTATGTTTTGCAAAATGG